AAATTTGACACCGGTGTCAAAATATACTGTCTTATATATATATATATATATATATATATATATATATATATATATATATATATATATATATGAAATGAAGAGGTTTATTCTTTAAAAAAAAATAAACATGATAAACCAAGACGAAAAGGAATCGGAAGATCGGTGAGTCTGAGATTCGGTGCTTGTCGAGGAGCGAGAGGGAGAGAGAGAGAGATAGAGAGAGGTAGAAGAGAAAGAGAAATGAAAACCTAGGGTCTGTTTGATTTCTGTTTTGTAAAACAGTTTTTTAGTTTTCGGAACAAAAAAACAAAAAAACTCGTTTGGTAAGACCTGTTTTGTAAAAAATATTTTGAAAATTATAACTGTTTTTTGTTTTTAAAATCAAATTTAGAGAACATGTCTGAGTTGTTTTTGTTTTCTGTTTTGATTTTTAACTTTCAAAAAGAAAAAAGTATAAAAAACAACTGTTTCCATAACTATTTTACAAAACAGTTTTAAGAACAAAAAAACCAGAACACAATCAAACAGACCCTAAATTCTGATTTGAGTTTCGGCTACTATTATTCATCCAATATAATCAATTTATTTAAGACCAGGGAAATAAAACATGAAGGCCGTGAGCTGTCACTTCTTTTTTTGTATTTATCTTGATAACAACCGAATATACTGAAGGCCGCGAGTAAACCGCCCCGAAAACCCAGTTTTCTTGTAGTGATCTCTTCTACAAATTATTCAACAGTGATACTATGCATGTTTAGAATCAGTAACTATGTGAATTATGCTGATTTATAAGTTACTTTTGTTTGAAAAGTTTTAAAATAAAAATTGATTTATTTTTTTTAATTTTTTAATTTAAGTTGTGCATATTTATAAGGTCATATGTTGGAGTCTAGGTAACGGTTTCAAGATGCAAGAGTAAAACTGTTCTTATCCATATGTCGAGAAGCCTTATCAAACTACTAAATTTAGTTGGTTTTGAGTAAATTTAGTATTGATTTCTTAAATTAAAAATTTTATTCTTATTTATCTACCTATGCTATCTATTATAAGGGTCAGAAAAGAAAATTTATAAAATAAAAGAAATTTCATTCATTTTTTATCTTGACATATTCCATGTAGGATTTGAGACTTAGTCTATGAAGGACCTAAAGACCCAATGACTAAGACTTTCAAGCTAAGGAAACGCGATCATTTTATATACATTGGTAATCCTCTAACACATAGCATCAGCAGCATAGTCTATTGTGGTTACACTATACAGTCTCCCTAATAGCCAATGAACGAGGGATAAACACATGATTCTAGCTGCCCCTACAAGATGTAGCCATAAATAAATATCTCACACATGAAATTGCCTGCAAGAGTTACTGTTGCGACTTCAGTAAGTGCACTGGTCGTACAAGTAATAAAGTGATAAAAGTAAGGTTGTCAATCTCATGAGGATTGATTATCAATCACTAACTCATCTACGTAATTAAAGTTGGATCTATTCTGAAATGGTTTTGTTGAGAGAGATAATTTAATTGTAGAGAGATATAATTTAATTGTAAAAACAGAATTTTTAAAAAACTTGTTTTTAATTTCTAATATTAAGAAATCAAGAATTAAATTCAAGATTTAATAATGCGAAGAAATTGATTTTTAACTTTTAATAAAAGACGTAGCTAGGAACTCGACTTTTCCAATATTTTCCTAACAAGTCTACCATTTCTTGCAATCAACATTCAGATTAAATTATCAACGATTCTTTCTAAACTTGATTAAATCTCAATCCCTTGATAATTTAATTCTTTACTTTATTCAAAAGCCTAATCCCTTAGAACCATTTTCCTAGAGCAAGCATTAAAGCAACAACCATAAAATTATAGAATTTGTAAGTCTATGCCTAGATTATACAAACTCTAACAATTAATCAATCGAAAATCAAGACACCAATATTTGTCATGCAAGATTCATGTATTTATCTATGAGTGATCAGTTCATAAACAAAGCTAGTCATGAGAAAACAGATTAATTGCATAACTTAAATCATAAATATAAATTACAAGAAAGGATAAACAGTGTTCAAGAACTCATTGATTATGTCTTGTCCTAACTACATAAATAAATTTAGCTTTGCATAATCATAACAACAGAATTAAAATATGAAAGGAATTTAAAGTAGTTCATAGAAACTTAGCAGAAAATTTAAACGGTGATTCTTCAATTTTCTCTTCTTATTTTTCCTTTTGCAATCGTCTCCATATTTTTACTCCTCTCCGAGTTTCTTCCATGTTTGAATCCTTCCACAGCTCTTGTCTCATCCTTTTAAAGAAATAAATTGGGCTTTTAATATTTGGAACAGCTCGCTGCATATTTTAATTTCTCGCTGATAGGCTCTCTGAAGCAAGCTGCTCAGTGAGCTAATTATAATTTATCGCTTGCTTTGCTCGCTGAAGCGAGTTGCAGAGCAAGCAAAAATTAATTTTTACTAATTCTTTATTTTGATTTTCTCAACTAATCCCAACTGTCTTTGCCTATCAGATTAGTGATTTGTTGTTTTAAACCTGAAACAACCTAAAAAGGGTTAGAATCTTATTTAGTTGTTAAAATTTTAATATCTTTTGGAATTTATTAATTAACAATATGCCTTATCAGTAAGACATATAATTGTAATAAAAAAATTATTATTTTTTCTCTCTACCACGTCAACCGACAGTCTTATCAGAAGGAAGAAAAATAGTTTTTAAAATTATAATTATAATTTATCAATAGAATATAGTATTAATTAATTGTTGTAAAAAATCTCTTATTTCATAAAAAGAGAGATAAATTTCCCTTTTATATAAATGAGCCACTTTTTTATTGGGAGTTTCTGTTATCTGTGGTTGAGTTTTGAGTGGTCCCAACTACAGGACACCCACACCGCCGCGTATGTTTAAGCTAAGGTGATTGCCCTTTCAGTCCCCCCAATGTGTCCTCCTTATTTTGTTATTTTGTCTGCTTGTTTTTCCATGTCAATCAAAGAATTAAACAAAATGCCGATGTAGATGACTCAATTGACTATAAAAAAACAGCATCAGAAATAAAAATTTCAGTTAGATTTTTTAATGAACTTTTATTTTTGTTCATAGATTTTATTAATAAATTATCTACAAATATTATTATTATTAAAATTTATTTTATAGTATGATATTGAAATTTGTAAAGTTCTCTTTTGAGTTCTCTCTCTCAACAAGCCTCCAAAATGAATCTGTTTTCCATCACTGTTTAATTATATATGGTGCAAAGTGGAACCCACTCCATGCAATGCTGAGTAGGCCTCCCGATGAGAAAACTTTTAGTACTACTGTGTGGCATTGAGTTCAGTGCGATAATAGTTCATACTGGGAGATCCTAATATTCTAGAAATTTTTACAAATCCGCTTAAGTATTCTAAAATATATAGGGTTCATATTTTCTTATGTTGTCAGATCGTAGGAGAGAAAAAAGTATAGATAAGTTAAACGTGGATCACATATTTTATATTAAAAAAGAAAAGAAAAATTAATTGGCACAGAAAATGAATCAGTGTAAGAAAAAGTTTTACTCTCCTATAACAGGAGAGTATGATTTCCGAATAAATAAACGTAATATTTCTACACTCACATATAATTGTGGAGCTCATCAAAAGAGAGAAAAATAATAGCTCAATTATCAATATGACTATGTGAGTATAGAAAAATATTTCTCTTTTATACAATTTAAGAAAAATATTACCATAAATAAATTATCGAAGTTCAATACATCATTAGCACCGAAAAATTTTCCTCTCCCGATGTCACTAATTAAAATACAGTAACTGCAAATCTTTCCAATGTATCGATTTTCATTTTGTTTAGATAAAGAATTTAATGTTTCTCATGTTATTAATGATATAATTATTTTATATATATATTATATATATAAATAAATGTGTGGAGTCTATTTTTTTCTTCTTCTCTTCACATAACTTTACATGGATCCCATATATTTTTATGTGGGTGTAGAAAATAATTTTATCTCGTACAACATGGGAAACATCAAACCCTTAATTAAAACTAATATTAATTTTTTTATATTTTGGGACTTTATGGGTAAAACTGTAAGTTTCACATTGTAGTTGCGTTATTATTTCACATGGTAGCATTGATTAATTGAGATTCAATTGGCTATATAGAATCCACTGAAATCTCGCCTGAAATAATCATTCTTGATTTTTTTATGTATCTAACAAATATCTTCTTTTTTTCGTTAAAAATGTTACCTTATTTTAAGATGGAAACATGTCAGTCTTAATAATGATCAATGTTATTTATTATTTTTCATAAGTTTCTGCATGATCCAGCTGTATATTTTGTTTTATGCAATCTGCACCACAACTTGCACGCACTTGGGTATTATTAGTATGACCACAGGTTGTTGCTCTTGTTTTTCCCTTAGCTGCTCTATCATTATTTAGTATGGAAGATTTTTGGGATGCTCAAGTTTTTAGTGTCTTTATATTTTTTATTATTAATTTTATATCTAAAGATTCAACAATTATTTGACGTTTGATCTAACACTAACGATTGAACACAAGTATCAAATGTTTAAGATTCTGTAAAATTCTCCTGTAGTTTATGCCAAACTGTTGATGAATTGACTTGTTTCTATCCCTTTAATTAGGTGCAGAGAAAGAAGTTACAAATTACTCCAATCCAAAGCCTACGTAAATCTTCATCCATGAAATGCCGAAACCCATTGGAGTTGCCTTTAAGGTTCCATTTTAATATTATAGCATGTATTAATTGAAACAGCCCACAGTTTTGGTGGATTGATCATATAGGTTCATTATTGACAAAAGAAAAATAATATTAATAACATACCTTCAATAATAAAATTCAGGATCTGATTATACAACTTAGTATAAAACTTATTCCATTTTAAGCATCTCCCCTCGGAAAAAGGAGAGGGAGAAAATAGACAAGTGGATTAGTGACGCCACAATAAAGACTTCCCATCTCTATTCTTAAATTCCCACAAATATAAGTTGTTGTCAAACAATGAACCAGTTCACCATTGACAAACAATAATGTTAAAGAGGAGGAATATGAATGCAATTTTCCAAGTTACTAGCCAGAAAAAAGGAAAAAAAAAACAGGGAACTAATTGTGATTTTCAGATTTAATTTGTTTTTCACTTTATCTATTGATTCACAATCCCAAGGAGATTAAACTACAAAGGTACTTCCAAAAAAACTTGACAAGTTGCCCATGTAAGCATAGAAGGCCACCCACTCCCACTATCCAAAAAGGCACCACGGTAAAAATTATTAAAAAAGAAAGAAGAAAAAAAAGAAAGGAAAAACGAGAGAAAGAGAGGGAGAGGTGTATAAACATATTTGACAAGGCATCAAACATGATAAAAGCGAGGCAGGATAGGAATTGCATCGATCCTTGGTTTCGGGTTCACAACTACAAGGCAGCCACGGTTTCCCCTTTGGTGGTGACTTGAGACCCTGATGGATGACCCACTACTTTTTTCTTTGATGCCACAAAAATCTTCCCTTTTCCCTCATCCTGGTTCATCTGCTGTTGACGGCACTCCAGGCTGCAGAAAGCACTATCCCCTCTGCAAAATTTATTTATATTTCAATTAAAACAAAGCCATATGAGCACTTAAACATAGGTCGTAAGTTCGGGTTTCGTGAATAAAAAATAATAATTTAGGAGAGCTGATCCCTTTAATAGAGTTCAATAAGTGCTCGAACCGAATATATTATATCCGAAGGATGAAGGAACTGGGAAATTAAAAAAACAAAGCAATAGAATCAGAAAGCAAAAAACAAAAAATAAAATTGCATAGCTTAGTAGCTTTTGTTAATATAAACAAACAAAATCATGTTGAACAATTGTTATATATTGAACATAACTAAGAAAAACACATCGACGGGCACCAGGTGTCAGAAAGGTGAAATTGTAAAATCAGGTTAAGGTGTCTGATTTCTTAGAAAGAAAGGGGAAAACAAATTTTGAAACAAACAATGAATTGGGTGTGTGATATAAGATTTACTTAAGTGACAATAATTAACGACAACGGTTATATGTAAAACACAAAAATAATTAACTAACTGAAGTAATTACCTGTACATGTAGATGTCACGACCTGGTACCAGACGACGTTTGCAGAGAGAACAAGCACGCAAAAACTCAGGGGTCTCTAAGAGATCCGAGGAATGCCTTCTTTGAATTTTGGGTGAAACTGTTGCCAACACCATACTCTGATCTAACCCATTATTGTAACCACCACCAACACCAACACCACCACATGTCTGTTTCGACCATGAACCATCAGCACCAACACCTCCTGATCTCTGTCCCTTCAAGGGGTTACTGGAATCAACAACATCTGCGACTTTGTTCAGATCCAAGGTTATCTCCGACATGCTTGTGGTTCTCTTCATTGGAGGACGAGGTCTCTTCCCTAGCAACATCTTCTTCCTTCTCCTTTCTTCTAATTCTGTTTAGTTAATTATATTATAGACTAGTCTTCGACTAGAGCTACTTTTGCTGGTTAATTTCTCTGTTGGTATATGCTATGGAGGAAGAGGCATAGAAAAGAGTGTGAAGAGGAAGAAGAGGGTGCAGGTAGGTGAAGGTGAAAACAGTGGTGCTACGAGGGAGATAAATAAAACTAGAGCATGAAACCGAGGAGTGAAGCGGAACCGTTGATTTTTGTGAGAGTGACGTTCATCAATCTATCATTAACGAGAAGTGAAATCTCACGTCAACCCTTCCTTTTCAATTAATTTAACTCATTATTATTGAAGTTGTATTATTGTTTTTTTTTTTTTGATTAATATTTTTAATATTGTAAAAGATAATTTTATCTTCTACACACATAAAAGTATATAGGTCTTGAGTGGGACGATGTGAAGAAAAGAGAAAAAATAAATGGGTTTCATATATTTTTATATATGTATATAAGATAAAATTATCTTCTACAACATCATAAACATTAATCTTTTTTTTTTTTTTTTTATCATTTTTACGTTTTTCTCTTTTAGTGCCAAACAGGGGCTTTGGATGCCTTCGAGTCTCCGAGACAGATACCACTTTGCTTGATTGTTTTTGGCCATCCGAATGTTCATATAACTGTACAAATATTGAAAGCAAAATGCTAGATCTTTCAATGAACGAGTTTGATAAATTTTCTAATTTTTTAAGTAAAATGAAATGACTAAAAACGCATAAGCATTTAATACTTAAGGATTTATCTCTTTTTTCATTGACTTCTTCTACAAATGGTATCATTATCTTTGAATAATAATACTTTTATAAGAATTTAATATATTCTTATAATGATTGATTAATATTTTATTATTCATTTTGTTTAATTAAAACATAAACAGTAGATTATGTTTTTCATGAATTCTTAAATTTTGGTTAATTACTCTTTAATTTGTTTATTATACTTTTAGTCAATGAAAATTGACTTGACTAGTAAGATATTATTGAGGTCTATAATATGTTATTATGTTAGAATGAGACAATTTAATTTTATTTAAATTTTTTCTACAAAGAGCATTTAAATTTTGTTCAATATTTTTTTTAAAATATTATCATCTAATTATTATAGTCAAAATTAATAATTGAATTTTTTTTTATCTAATTAATGCGTATTTTGAAAGAGAAAATGATTTTTTTGACTTTTGAAAAATAAAAATAATAAATAACTAGTCATACATATTTCACCTAACTGAAACCAAATGCTAAATGGCACGAACCGGAAAAGTACTAATTACTAATTAGGAGCGAGTGTATTTGTTTGTGTGTGTGTGTTGGGGGGGGGGGGGGGGGGGGGGTTGGTTTAGAGTAAAACTTGCTAAGCAGAATATTATTAAAGCATGCCTAGTGTGGCATGGTCTATGAGAAAAACAATATAAATTCTTAATTTATTATGGAAAAAGTATTCTAATTAAACTAAAAACACGGGTAATATTAATTTAAGCTGTCAATTATTTGCAATTTATTTTTAATAAATCTCTTTGGACAATTTCAATATAATATTATAATTAGTACTTTTTCCATTGAGGAAAAAAAAAAGACATGATGGGCAGTGAATTAAATTGAAACATAAATTCAATTATGGGTTTCTCTTTTCTCATGTTACATGAGGTTGCATCTGTCATGCCATAGACACAATAAGTGGTGGAGCCTATCACTTGTTAAAAAAGACAAAAAAATAAAAAAAGATTACATAGATTACGATGTCTCACAACATTGAGAAAATTATCTTCTATTATATGAGAAAATAATTTCCCTTCAATTATTTATGGACGTGGTTCGATTGTCACCAAGGTTTGTGCTCCATTTGGTAAAACGTGCAGCTAGGGCTTACTATTCAGACAAAAGGTGTGCGACTTATGTGAATGATGTCTTCAAGAAATAAAAAATGATTTCTCCCTCAACTCCAAGCACTAAGCATTTATTTAGCGTATAAATATAATGGGACAGTTATTGCATCTTATGTGGTGAAAATTATGATGTAATACACAGACTATTATTATAGTAAAAAGGAGGGCCGGGGAAAGTTCACAAAAAAAAGTGAAAGATGAAGATAAATGTAGCAGTAGTGGGAAGTTACGCAACACTATCAAGCATAAGCGAAGCAAATTAGCAATTTAGAAGAACTTAATTGGTTGACAGCGAAAGCTTATTTTGTCATCAGAAACAAACAAAGTGGGGTGAATGTGGCACTTGGAAGACAGCCAGCAGGGCCTCGTGTGGTTGCCTTGTCTTGTTCGATTTCGATGCTACCCCGTCAGAAGTGGCACCAATAATTTTGGCTGGTCCACGCACCTCCATTTTCACTTTAAGCTTTTTTGGGTGTGCAGTATAGTATACCAAATTCTTTCGTGACATAATGACCCAAAAGTATTCCCTCACCACTTTTCTTTTAGTCTCCATTTAAATTCAAAGTTTATATCATTTAATATGTAAGATCAAAATATGTATTCAAAAAAAAAAAAAAAGGTAAGATCACAATGTTCTCTAATTATTTTGTTATGAAAAATATACGAAATTCTTGTTCTTTTGTTTAGTGGAAAATTCAGGCTTTGCCACAAAAGTGGAGAGAAGGGACTGAAGCTTCGGTTTCTTTATCCTCAACTAAATCTGATTCACTTAGTTTGAGATATGAGTAAGCTAATTTGGACATTTAATTTTTTTTTTTTTGTGTCACAAAATACTTTGGAATGGATATTGTTGAGTTCATAATTAAGTATTGTTCAATATTTTTGTTTCAGCCTCAAGATGACACAAGAGGAACGTTAACCCATTTTACGGAAATTCCAATTATAGGATTTTCAAAGTATGCCCTTACCGTGACATGATTGATATTGAAAAGGGACAACTTTTTCACCTAAACTTTTTCCTAATTCAAAATACGAGCTTGATAGCTAAATTTCTCTTCTTGAATATCAATTATGCCATCCATTTAACGAAACACAGCCAAAAGGAGTAGAACCCTGTTTCTGTATTGTAATAGAGGACTAATTACCAGGCATAGAAAGAGATCGAAAACTGAAGTTTGGTCAATCCGAAAGTACAAGGAAGTTTTTTTTGCTAATTGGATACAACGGTTCCACTTGACAGGAACTTGCTTCACGTGCACCTGATATATAACTTATTTTTCTCTTTTTTAGATAGGAAGTTGAGTTAATTGTGCAACACTTTCCATAAACCAGAACCATCACAATTCTTTGAGTACAAGAACTAACATCTAAGTTCTATTAGGATATGTCAGGCGAGTCCAGCAAATCTCAACCCAAAATAGGCTCTGATACATAGTGAGGTGTGTTCAGGAAAAGCCCGTGACAATAGACCATCACCAATGGGTTAAGCTAGCCAAATCGTAGCAAGTGGATTCAATATCATATCTCTATCCAAAATCTTAAAAACATCGAGTTTATGGGTCCTCTCACTTATATACACTTCGCTTAGCCTATTATCAACTAATATCTCAACAAAATCATTTCAATTATTCATGTTGATTAGAAGCATGATTTATTATGATCTTTTACTCGTTATGTCTCTTCATTGAACTTGATTGTTTACAAAAAAAAAAAAAAAAAAAAACAAAGAAAGAAAGAAAGTTTCACAAGGCACTAATAAAATCAACATGGAGGTCAGTGGAGATTTATTTGTGCCTTTTTGTAACATATGATTAAAGCATAAATAATAATATTTTTCAAGAATCTAATATTCATCAATTGTTTGTATAACTGACCTAGTAGTATGTACACTTATATATATATATATATATATATATATATATATATATATGAGCTTATTGTTTCTCAAGCAGCTTGAGATAATTTTATTTCCAGCTACTAAATTATAATCGTACAAAGATGAATCAATGGTGATAAAGAAAGAGAGAGAAAACAGGAATCATAACCATTCAAAGGTGAATCAATTAATATAAGGAAATAAATAAATAAAACGATATAGTTTTGGGGTAGCTGGAGATAAACTTATCTCGAGCTGCTTGAGAAATATTTCTCTCTCTCTCTATATATATATATATATATATATATATATATATATATATATATATATGTGGATTTACATTTCTGCAGCTGCTGTACGTGCAGCAATCAAATGCTTGCCATATATATACATGGAAACATTAAATGCGGAGAATCATAACCATACAAAGGATGAAAATATTAAATGTGGGGAATCATAACCATACACCCATCGTTGTTGTATGTAAAGCAGCTGCAGAAATGATTTTACCATATATATATATATATGGGTGGTTATTTCTGTAGTTGTACTTGTTGTATGTACAACAATTAAATGTGAGAAATCATAATCATACAAAATTAGATAATAGCATTAAATATGGTGGACGAAAGCATTAATATGGAAAGTCAATAATCAAGATTAATTGTTATATGTACATAAGTTGCAAAAATAATTTTACCATATATATATATATATATATATATATAAATTTTATTTACAAATTTCTTATTTATAAACTCTTAAAAATTACATTAGGATTGTAATATCTCTTATAGATATATGTGAATTTGTAATATCTCTTTCCACGATCAATTATGTAATGCTAACTGCAGCTTAAACTGAAATTATTGATCCTATGTATAGGGATTGAATTAATATGAGTAGTTCTGGTGACAATGATTAGAAAGTACAGCAAATGGTCACTATTTGAGAGAATTAGGGAACCCATACCTTTCCCCCTTTGGCTCTGTCCGTTTGATTGATGGTCCAGTTGTTTGAAAGCTTTAGATCCCACAGATACAACCAGCTCATTTGAGGGCGAGAGGGCAATATACAAATACTCCATAGACCACCAAATCAGTCACTTTCCACACAATAATGAGCTAAGTGATGTCTATTACTTAAAAATTACGGAGTTTCACAAGTGGGCATTTTAATTTAGATAGAGAGAGGGAAAATATTGTTATTGAAGACACTGGGAGATATTAAATCACTAAGAGATTTGAATCCATGTAAAGAACAGAAAGGGTAGATAATCAGAATTATCAGTGTGCAATTATAAATATTAAAAACAGAATTACTTGATATGTATGAAACAGACAGAATCAGAAGAAAGGAAAAATGCAGTATCGGAAGAATAAAATCCGAGCCCACAGAACGTGTCTCCTTAAGACAATTTGTCGCCTCACTAACGCCAAAGGTTGATGGACACTTATCTCCCAGGATAGAACGAATTTCGTCTGAAGAGTGGCGGCACTACCAGTCAACAGCCCAAACGAACACAACTGAATGCCAGAGGAAACTACACCGAAGTATGAAAAGGAATATGCAAACCGAAAGGAGAAAAATTCCGATAGAGTTTTAGTGCAGGAAAAATTGGATTCATTTTCTGAAGGTGTCAGTGTCTATTTATAGACACTGACCGGTCACGATGAACAGTTGCCAGCGAAGAACCGCCGTGTCTGACGGCGGCGAACAGGTGCGACCGGTGACCGTTCCGATAAACAGGTGAACACAACTGAATGCCAGAGGAAACTACACCGAAGTATGAAAAGGAATATGCAAACCGGAAGGAGAAAAATTCCGATAGAGTTTTAGTGCAGGAAAAATTGGATTCATTTTCTGAAGGTGTCAGTGTCTATTTATAGACACTGACCGGTCACGATGAACAGTTGCCAGCGAAGAACTGCCGTGTCTGACGGCGGCGAACAGGTGCGACCGGTGACCGTTCCGATAAACAGGTACAACCGGTGACTGGTTCAGCGAGCAGACACAACCGATGACCGATTCACGAAAGGGAAGAACCGGTTCGGTTCAAAATTGCTCAAAAAACCGACGTATAGAAACGTTTGGGTTTGAAATTTTGGAGGAAGCAACGGATACATTTTTGGACAAAATATTAAAAAATTATTTTTATTACATATATATGAACTGATTCGAGTAGGCTGGGCAGACAATAGAGGCACGTGTGGTAGACCAAGGCCCACTTTGCACCTCCTCCTCCACAAAATGGGTAATGACCCAAGGGCCAATCTAAGAGAGTGAGGTGGGAGCTTATAAACTCTCTCACTTCCTACTAATTATCCAATGTGGGACTTGTTGAAACCCACACACCTCTTCATCTTCTTTTTTCTCTTTTCTTTATTAATCCACTTCTTATTCATAATCAATGGATTATTGTTCATAAATTCCAACAAATATGTAGGTTGCAGTCACTGGCAAATGATTATTGAGAAGTACAAGGAAAGGCATCTAAACATTATAAAACAATAAAACAAAAAATTCTTTTCAATCTAATGGATTCATAGACCAAAATGGATATCTATTAGACCATACGAATATTATTATCTGAACTTCTTTATGGAAAATAATGTCATGTACTCATGTTAATGATATGTTTATTTTACCTCCTCAAATGCATTCATGTATTCCATGGGGGTGGATTTTATGTTTTGGTTAAAATGAGAATAGAAAACAAGCCTACACTAACTAATAAGCTTGCGTTCATTTCTTTTATCAAGAATAGAGGAAAATCTAAAAATTATATAATTGAGATTGGAGTGGGGACCGGGTGTTAATAGGACCTAGAAAGAGTGAGAATCTGATAATAATGATGTTTCCCACCAGCATGGTCCTGGACAAAACTAATGTCTCCATAAAGGCTCTAGCCTCTAGGGTCACTTCCTGTAGTCATCCATTGTTTACCACCATATGTATTCTTGAAATTTAGTTCTGGTGGTAAATTTCGTGCACACAATGAAGGCATTGTTATCGGTTGGTGCCAGTCATTAAAGACATGCAAAGGCCTTTTGGCCCTTTCCCCACCATGGTATTTCACTGGCTCTGTATCTCTAACTTCATACTCTTGCTCCTCTTTTCACGAATTTTAATTGCTTCAGCGTTATTATATATCTTTCGCATCATGATTAAGAATTATTAGCATCTAAATTAGACCAAATTTATAAATTTGATGAAGAAAAAATCGAATTTAATGGCGGATACATTAACTTTTAATTAAGAATATAAATATTTCATTTTGATCTCTAAAATGTTATAAATATCGATTATATTAATTCTTGAACATTGGGGGTGTTCGCGGTTTCGGATCAGTTTTGAAAAAAAAAAATTATCCAATCCAATTACTTCGGTTTAGATTTTTTTTAAATCCGATCCGATCTAATTCAAATTTATTTGGTTTGGATTGGATCAGTTTTTGATTTTTTGAAAAGTCTAAAATTTCAGTCATATAAATCACTAACTATATCAAAATAAAGTTGTTCAAAGTTACAAACCACTGGAAAATTCAAGTTTTCAAATTAAAACAAGTCTTAAAACTCATGAAGAGTTAAAATAGATTAATAGACAATAAAAAACTAAAATAAGATAGTTTGTTATCAATAACATTCAATATTTCAAATCTACAAAACAACAAGATTGCAAGTCATCATCTTTTGAAAATAATAAATAGATAATATATTGGATCAATTTTCATCAATCAAACCGAAAACTGATCCAATCCAATTAAAATATGCTCTCTTTTTCAATTTTCTGTTAATTCAATTTTATTTTTTTTGTAATAAAAATGGGCAAGGCCCCAGAACAGAACAGAACAAAACTAAGAAAGCCTATTGAAAATATCATGTTTCAAAAGATCCACAAGCTGTGGTGGGGGAGCTATAGAAAATATTAAAGTTACTAAGTTCAAAAACTAGCTTGAGGTCATATTAAGAACCTTGAGGTCACCACCCCAAAAACTAGCTCAAGAGGTGGGAGTGTCCAAGACCTTATAAAGGCCACATTAGTTGCCCACATAATCAATGTGGGACTATTTATCTCAACACGCCCCCTCACGCAAGAGCCCTTTGGGCTAGAAGCGTGGAATTGCACAGACCCAATTTTTGGTTTACCTTTTTGTGCTTTTTTTTATTTTAATTTCACTTGAAAGTGGGGGCCGTGAGAATCGAACTTGTGACCTTTTAGTCACTCAAGCTCTGATACCATGTAAAGAACCTTGGGATACACCACCCTAAAAGCTAGCTCAAAGGGTGGGAGTGTCCAAGGCCTTATAAAGGTCACATTAGTTGCCCACATAATCAATGTGGGACTATATATCTCAATAATATAAGAGAGTTTGTCTCCTATTATATGAGTAATAATCTCCAATATTTAAAGGTTATAATTGGCTAGTAAAGAGTAATTTAAAGCTAATTCCGTTAAATAAACAAATAGAAACATGGAAGATCATTTGTTTTATCACCTCAAACCTTTAAACATTTGCACACAAAATTTACACTAATGACATTATTTGATTTTATAATTCTAATTATTTAAACGTTAATCAGACTTACTCAACTTATAATTTAACTTTTTTTTATACAGTATATTGATCTTTTGAATTTGCACGCAAAATATGAGTATTTTAGTTTGAGAAAATATTTTTCGTTAGTCGCTCTTATTTTTTAAAATTCAAAAACATATGTTTTGTTCATTTAGTTTTTATTGCAATATGTAATGGATCCATATAGAAAAGCGATTTTATCTTATATTAAAATTATATTAGGTCGCTTACAAAAAAATAAATAAATTATATTAGGTCAATAATGACTTTTTTCTAGCAATTCAATACAATTTTAGAATATGGTTAATGATTAGTATTATATTATGCAATATTAGAAGGCATTACTATGAAAGTCTATACATGTAGTGGGTCCATAGTTGGCCCACGAGAAGGCATTGTCTAGTGCGTGCAAGGACCCTCCAGCATAAGGCGATGTTCTCAATTAACCTTTTGCATTTTCGAAGATTATATCATTAGCTAAATTAATATAGTTCTTCCAATTATTGGGAGATTGGTATAATTATATAATAGCATTCAAGAACAATGCTAAGATTTTCCATCCAATATGGGTGCATAGGTATTTCTTTTAATGTGGTACTTACTTCATATATGCGGAGCTTTTTTGGGGTCCATAGTCCATAACATTTGTAATTGAAATTCACTTTGCATCGCACTTTCAACAAGTAATGCCTGCAAAACGCGGTTGGAATCATTCCTTTTCAACACAATATTAAAATGTTTCTAAATCACTTGTAGAAGTGCAAGAAACAGCAACTAAGCGATTCCCATGTAATCCCACAAATTGATTATTAGACGCACGAAGTTGTAAAATGTTTTCATCTATCCTCCGTAGCTGCGCAAAACGCACAATATATATATATATATATATATATATATATATATATATATATATATATATATATATATATATATATATTTGGGTTCCAACATTAGGTGTTATGGTGGGATCGATCACAATGAGCAGATTAAGATAGGTAAGTGTAACACAGCTCGCAAGAGAAAGCTTTATTTATTTGTTTCTTTTTGGATAGGTTTTTAGAGAAAACTTTCTAAAGCTTGACGTAACCATTCTTGATCATCCACTCCAGACTCCAATGGTTATCAGCATTTTTGAAAGCCCAATAAGCCCACCCAAATGTAGCTCTTCCAAAAACATCTAATTGGGCCTCAGCAAATCTTTGGTAGTCCTCTTTCGTAGCGGCCTTAACTCGCCACTCAGCAACCCATTCACCTTGAATTGGAATAAATATTGAGCCAGGTTGAAAATTAAATTACATATATTGAAGTCTAAAATAAAATAAGTTATCGTTTAATTTTTTTCGCAGAGAAAAAAGATAAGCAATTATATACAAGAACATAAATTTCATAATTTCATAAATTAAATACATCGTTAATATTTTGAACTATTTTGTATCCTTAATATTTGAAAACTATTATGTATTTCAATGTAAGCAACATAACAAAATCAGTGTTCATGATTGATGAAAAATTATACAATTGAGTACTACTTGTCAAGCAAGTCATAAAAATATGTTATTAAAAAATTGACTAAAATCAATCTACATTAATAGGGAGAACGAAGGGCCAATTAAAGACTTACCGACAAAAGTAAGAGGGCCATTTGAAGTTGTAACAAAATTCAACTGTGATGAACGGTTGGTGTGGATGAAATCAATGTTCTCTTGGACAGTCATGTTTTCAAATACATCATCGAAGATGTTGTAGTAGTGGACATCAATCACAGATTGCTTAAGGCCATCGGCAAGAGGGAAGAGTTCCCTGGGGTCTGAGGGTCCTAGCCTATTTGACAATATAACATAAGCTGTGGAGGAGTGCTTGCGCACAGCTTCATAACCAGCCTTGTAGTACTTGGTCAAGCTATCTAGTGTCACACCAGGTGAGAGAGGCTCGTTTATGAGCTCAATTGCATAAAGGCTTGGACTTTTTGCATACCTGCCATGCGTAGCAATATGGGACTGATTATATATCTTTGATGCAATAACATGCTACATTTAAAAAACAGAACAGTGTCTTATATATAATATATATAAACCTTGCAGTTAGGAAGTCTATAACATGAACTGTTTGTTGGATGTTTTCATCTGTTTTTCCCCATTCTTGTGAACCATCTCTTGAAGCACTGTGCTGAAAGCCATTTTGAGAACCAGGTGCAGCATGAAGATCAATGATAATTTTCAATCCATATTTCCTGCATATATATATACATAGGTCGTTATTCACAATATAATTAAATTAAGGCCTATAATTAACCATTTCATCATTAATTAAGATATTGCCATTTTAGAATCTAGCTGAAGCCGAATATACTAGAAAAGGAGTACATATATAGTTTATGGACTTAACTGTGCCCACGAGAAGGCATTGTCTAGTGCGTGCAAGGAACCCTCAACGTAAGGCCAGGGTGGAGTGGGGTCACTTGCTATCCACCATCCCACTGGAATTCTAACAGCATCTAATCCATTATTGGCTATGAAATTGAAATCTTCTTCAACTATAAAAGTGCTCCAGTGTTCCTGATGATAAACGCACACCGCTCATCATTCACATTACAACGTGCTAGATATCTTAGATTTGGAGACATGATCATAATCTTGAAAAATAAATAAAATAAAAAATTGTGAATGGACACAAAGAAAGTCACTAGTTTGGAGTTTCGACATCCACATGTGGAAGGGAAAGTCGACATGCAATAATAATTGTAGATGACAGTTGTCTAAAGAAATTTCAAAGTCGCACAAAATCTAATTCGTCAACGAATGCTAGTTGCTTCTGAAGTGGAATAAATTTTTGGTACTTGTACCTACATTCAGTGCATTTCATGAATGAGAGCTTTATACATTAGATGAGAGAGAAAAAATTTGACAGAAAAACAAGTATTTTATAGTTGACATGTAATATTTTTATTGGTAGAATGTACTGAATCTTTGGTACAACAGTAGTACAAAAGATTTATTCCCTCGACGGGACATATCACTTTAAATGTACATAAAATATTAAGAAGTACAGAAAATATTATTGTGCGTTTAATATATGCATAAAACGTGCAATAACATTTTTTTGAAATGTAATTTATACTCTAAGAGACATAATTTAGGAGTAATCATATAACCTATGAAGCATCGACACTTCAAAAATCTTAACGTGTCGTGTCCGACGCTTTCCGACACTCTGACACTTTCCGACGCTTTCCGACACTCTGACACTTTCCGACACTCCAACACGTGTTATAAAAATTCAAAACAAGTTCAAAGGTTGCGTTGCGTTGAGTTTTTAGTTTCAACTATTAATTCGTTGAATTACGATTACCATTTAATATAAATATTTGGGATATCTTATATTTCTTTGCGAAATTGATGAATATTTTAAGTTTAGTTTTATTTTTTTGTTAAATTATTGAATATTAATATATAATATACACTACATAAATTAAAAATATTATTTAATGTCAAAACGTGTCCTAACGTGTCAAAATCTATTATTTTTTAGAATTAACGTGTCGGAGTGTCGTGTCGTATCGTGTCACGTGTCCCGTGTCGGTATCGGTACTACATAGCATATAACAATATAATCAAAACTAATACGCCTGGAAAATGAAAGGTATGTATGTGGGACTTAGGGCTTGTAGGTATAATTCATTTGTTTTGCCCTGTAACTTTTGGCCAATTCGTGACTTAATGTTACCTTCATGACTTGGGGAGCTTTTATTGGTCCATAACCATTAGTCACCTGGAATTCGCCTTGCAACCTTGCAGCGATTGTCATTACAAAAACGGTTGGGTCATCATCCCCCCATCCGTTGACCTCTGATACATCAGCAATCACCAGCTCCTCTGTCTTCGCCTGCAAGTCCACCCCATTAATATTGCTATAAAAGTTATATTCCATTTAAACAATCATCTCACTTAAATATTAATCACCTAAATATTAAGAGGAGACCACTTTAATAATTTTATGTTAGACTCTTCACATAAGACTCTATTAGCAGCTTTGAGGGGGAATAATGCAAAGTCTTACCTACTCCGGTTAAGAAATTTAGTAGTTATATATAAAAAAAAAAAGAAAGAAATTTAGTAGTTAAATATTTATTAGAATGATAGATACCATAAAAATGGAACTCTAATATCTTATAAGTCGCACGCGATTAGTGATCCGGTCTCCTCCCTCTATTGGGGAGCTTATGGTTTCATGTTTTATTTCACCTTTATTAAATAAGGCTCGTCTACTACCATATTATAGGAAGAGTATATTTTATGTTAAGACACAAATTAAATATTAGAGTTCACTACTAAAAAAATAAAATAATAGCATAATTATCAAAATGTCAATTACATAAGTTAGTATATTGATATTTCTGTGTAAACAATCATCTTACCTATGACTGTTAACTCACGTCCACTCTAATAACTTTATATTAGATTTTAGGGAAAAGTTCACCAATGTTCCCGTAGTTTACTTCGGAATCACTTATGCTCCTTTTGTTTTTTTCTTATCACATATACTTCTGTGGTTTGTAAAAGGGTATGTTTTTTATCACATATACCCATGTGGTTTCTTATTTTTTACAAAGTACAGGGACATATGTGATAGAAAAAAAATCACATGGACATAAATGATTCTGAAGCAAACCACATGACTAAATTTTATAATGCTTTTTTTAATATTTTATTTTACTAAAAAAAGAAGAAGAGAGGATCACCTGCAGGAAGTATCCATTGGATGCTTTGATTCGAACACGGCTTGAATTGTCAATTTTCTTAATAACATGAAATGTCTCAGAATCAGTGGAAGTATTGGAAACTGCAACCACGTTAATCCCATCTAACCCCACGAACTGTTTGTTGAACACCCTGAATTTGAAAGTGGCCTCGTTTATTCTCCATAACTGCACAATATTACAGAGAACATCATCAAAATGTAACATGCAAAATCACTTTTTTTTAATGCAAATCAGTTCTAATTGATGGCTTACTCACTCTAAATGTTTCCCAACTGGAAGCAGCTGTGCGGTTAGCAACTAGGATTGTTCCTCCTCCACACTCCGCACAGAGATACTTCCTTGTTGTCACAGACTTGAACTGAAGACCTGTTCCATCCTACAAAAATTGAGAGGAACAATTTCCCATGACCGTGAATAAAAGAGCTTGGGCTATCAATATAAGCCTATGAGAATAACAAAATGTTAATTTGTAGTGCAATCATTTATATATTTACTGACCAAGAAGTCCTTATTTGGAATACCATCGAATAATGAAGGTTTAATCCAACCTTCAGTAACCAGCCAACCACCCAGATTAACTGCTCTAACTCGAAACACAAATTTTGGTCTGCCATAGGTGATGGAAAGCATAGAAGAAAAGATAATCAATTCGAGAAGCCATGTTTTGAGATTGACACAGCTCGTCATCATTAGATGTCTTTGATCTTTGTCTCAACCTTCTCACATGCCAGCTTTGAAATGACTGCTAAGGAATTATATAGGAAATAATGGAGAACAGCAGTCAAAATCTAGAAACTTTGACCAAACCATTGGCTGCGATTACCAAAAGAATTTTTAGTGCAGGTTTGAATTTTTATTTTTATTTTTAAGCTAAAAACTCTCCATAAAGTTAGGCCAAATATATTTTATAAAAAGTTATTATAATGAAAAATTCTTTTTTTATAACGAAGATAAAAATTCATAAGAAGAGTTTTTTTTTAGTTTTTATTAATTTTTTTTAATTTTTTACTTTTTTTAAATGAAGAAAAACAAAATAGAGAGAGATTTTTCTCGAAATATATATTTTTAAGCTAAAATTTTATATAATCACTAAGGTAGTGTTTGGTTGAAGGTTTATTTTGGGATTGATGGGAAAGTATAAGTGGATATTGGAAAATACCACGTTTGGTTCAGATTTTTTCAAAAAATACTAGACAAATAGGATAGATGGGAAAATGACTTTTGTTTTGATTTTTGGATGAAATTCACTATTATAGTACCAATTAATTCTTATAAGCTATTCCCAACTGTACCGTCCCATACCAGCACAGTCTCTGGAATCCCTCTCTTTCGTGTGTTGATTCGATTCATTCATGTGCCCCCGTCACTGGAAGCATGTCAGGAGCCGCTCCTTGTCCATGTCTTTTCGCACCAGCGATCACTCCCCGCCCTCGTCAGCACCCGGGATGTTACATGCCCACCAGCTTCGGCCTGGTTTTCCTCGAACCACACCGTACTGGAAGAGCGGTCCTGCTCTGATACCACTTGTAACATCTGAAAACTTGCAAGGATCAATGACTGTCCTTACACACTAACACGAGACTTTTCAGTGTGCTTTGTCCTCACTCGCACACTTCCCGGAAAAACTTACCAAGAGGTCACCCATCATATAATTGCCCCAAGTCAAGCACGCTTAACTATGGAGTTCTTCCGTTCTGGGCTACCGAAAAGTAGATGCATCTTGTAAGTATAGGTAGTTCCAATTAATTCTTATAAGTTATTCCCAACTGTACCGTCTCATACCAGCATAGTCTCTGGAATTCCTCGGGTGATGATTTGATTCATTCATGTACCCCGTCGCTAGAAGCCTGTCAAGAGTCGCTCCTTATCTATGTCCTTTCGCACCGGCGATCACTCTCATTCCTCGTCAGCGCCCGGTGTAACACCCCGTATATATCCGGTAGTGTTATCATACTATCGTATTAAGTAGCGCTTAATTAAAAATGCAGAATATCTTTTTCTTTTCAATTATGATGTCATTATCATTACCAACTTGCTTATTAATCAATTAATAAAATATCTCCTGTATGTAATTGCAATAAAACAGCTAACTGAAATACCTCATAACATAGATAATAAAAGTGTGGCTCTAGTCACGGAACTACAACAGCCTAGACCGGACCGTCTAACAGTTTAAACAACTCCAATCTAAAGGTACTAACATAAAGTGTCATGGACAATCCCCATGCTCACTCAAATAAGGCAACACGCCCAACATCAGTCTCAACAACAACATGTGCAATATAAGTTTAAAAGCAGTTCATCAATATCATTTCTAAAACAGTGCAATGCAGCAAATAATCATGTCATGTGTGTCAATACTATTCTACTGGCCAGAGAAATGCAGGATTTATATACGTCCAATACCCACAAATAGTGCAAGACGCTGCTTGCATCCACCCCGGATCACCGTCTTGTATGACGCTACATACTCAGGCTTACCGTCAAGATGGAACAACACATGCATATTAAAAGCCATTACACATAAAGCTCAACAGCATTTCAAATATTCAAAGCATGTAACACAGCATGCATAAAACCACACCCCCATGGGACATGGTGGAACCACAACATGGCTAAACTGAGGACACGAAAGCTTACCTCTCAAGCTATCCGTCCAAACCAAGAGTCCACACTGGCCCAAGGTCACCAAACAGCACAATCACACTCTGTTTATAACAGGAATATCATCAATAACCATACTTGATTGCTTAATCATTTTCAATACTTCATTTTCATCTCTTCATGAAATATTCTAAGATTTTAATATGTTAAACTAGACATCTCCAGATTTACAAAGACATATTATACGCCTCAATCGCAGTTGTATAACTCCGGTTATGCTTTACGCAAAGTGACTGTTGTAACCAAAATTTCCAGCAACCAAAATGCGACTTCAAAATGACACTGCGATCAAACCACTTATCCAATGGCTACTAAATTTTACAGAGTTGTAGCCCTATGTGTTATCTTTACATAGGTCCAAAACTCACTCAATTTGGAGCTCTGTAACTCAAGATATCGCAATTTTACTAAACTAGGTCGTTGCTGTCACATTTGCACTAGGTAATCGATTACCATACAGGGGTAGTCAATTACCCTTCATGGTAATCGATTACCACTCAAAGGTAATTGATTACCACGTGTGCAGAAACACGAAAATGCAGATTTTTCTGCATAATCCGAGCTCCAATGGCCTCCCAAGGTTCATTTTAGCCCAAAACAAATGTTCAATACTACTTATTAAACATGAATTAACAACCTTTAACATGATTAATCAAAGTTATCTCTTTTCATGACAAAAACAAGTCATTTTCATGAAAAATCAAAGGAAAGGTTCAAGGTATACCTATGGGGTCCTTAAACTCAGAAAAAGAAAAGCCTTAGATGCTCAATGAAGTGCCCCAAGCCTCTGCCTTAGTGATGCACGAAAATCACCACACCAAGGTAAGTTCTTTAAGCCAAAAGATCACTCCTTGGCACCAAAAGACAAGAACAAAGCCTCTATCAAGGTATCTCCCAACTCAGTCCCAAACCAAGCAACTAAGAAGCTTACACTCAGAAACTAAGAGTTTTCCTCCCACCCAAGGTTCACCCACACACAACCATGGTGTTTTGATGAAGTAAAAATGGAGAAAACTTTGAGGATTTTCTATGAAGAAATGGAGGTGGAAGAGGATGGAAAGGTGGCTGGCTCCTCTCTTCAAAAAACTCTCACGTAGCAAGGCAAGAAAATGACCTAGGATCATGTGTCAAGCCTATTTATAGCCATTTAACCAATTCACACACAGTATTAAATTTAATTGCTAAACTTAGCATTTTAATCCCAAACTTTGGATTCTTAACCTACTCAATTTTACAAGAATTATCATATTTTTCTTATAATTTTCAGAGCACCTTTTCGGTACGCGCTTTTCAAAGTCAGTACCGATTTCTAGCACCAGTTCTCATTATTTGAACTTGAATCTCGTTTTACAAGTCCTACATATTATTGTAGTAATTATCATGCACTTATTATAATTTTTTGGGATACTTTTTCGGTACGCATTTATACTGACTGGCAGAACCGGTATCTGCACTTTTCTTCCGAAAAGTGAATTTCAGCATTCTTAATCACTTACTATAATTATTAAAGCCTCATAATAATTATTAGGGTCAATTATGGAATTATTTTCTATTTTCTCATAATTTATTAATTAAATTCCTTAATTAACGGTGCGAGTTCTTACACCCGGGATATTACAGTACACACAAAACCATGACCTCCAACAATACCTTCCCCATCATCGACATCGGCCTCATTATTAGCTTCGGTGAGATGATCATCGATTTCGTCCTCACCAGCTCTAGCGAGTGCTCCTTCCACACCCGTGGCGACGCCGACCACCCTGAGGTTCCAGCTCTGACTACAAGAAAATCAAAGAAGAACGAAAAGGGTAAGAAACAGAGTGCACCAACACCATCACCAATGCTAGGCATCTTTTGCAAACGACGAGGTAAATGTCTTTTATTTTGTCTCTTACTTGTCCTTTCCACTATGCATCTCAAATCTGCAATTTTTATTCTTTAAGTGATTTGAGTTTAGTAGTTTGGTGGAAGTTATATATATTGCTTAGTTTAGTTAGCAATGGAGAGATCTTATTTGTGTTGTAATCTTATTCTTGCTTTCTTTAAAAATGAATGGACATGAAAATGGTAATGGGTTATGAATATCTTTATACATCTTATCAATTGTTAGCCATTTGTTTTAATAAATTGATCTATATGGCAACCTATATCTTTACTTGGGGAGTTGTGTTCTTCTACATATCGTTAAGGAATATTTTGGTAAATTTTTGTATATATGTATTCGTTATGCATTTTTAATAAATATCAAATTGAGACTTAGAAGAAATAGCCATAAATCCTATTAGCACCGATGATGGTAAGAAGAATGATTTGTAAAATTTTATTTGATTGTGTAGAATGATAGAAGAGACATTTATTAGGCCATTTATACTTTGTAGGTTATTGCATAATACTCTATAATGTGCATAATGGTGAATTTAATGTTAATGGAATTTGATTCAAATTCAATGCGATGGTTGAATGGATGGTTTTGGGAGCCTATTTCTTCGAATTGAGTTAAATGAAACTCATCCAATGTATTTAAGTTTCTATTTTTTGTTGGGAACTCGGTTCCCTCATATCGGATCAGGGGCCTTTGCGGAAGTCAGTCAATGAGATCCTGGATCTCGGCAATACCTCGGCCTGAACTACACCAGGTCGGGCAGCGCAGCGGAAAAACAAAAAACACAAATAGGAGAGAGAGAGAGAGAGAGAGAGAGAGAGAGAGAGAGAAGGAGAGAGAGAACACAAGCAATTTTAACGTGGGAAAACCTTCTCCAATGAATAAGTAAAAACCCACGGTACCTAGTCCAGATCAAAAAATCCACTATGAAAATAATGGTTAAAAATAATCAGAATCACCAATGTGGTGGTTAACTCAATCTCTCTAACAATGGTGATAATCAAACCTCCCTAAAGATGTTTCACTCAAAATCTCTCTAGAGATCTCTCAAATACAAAGCATAAAGCTTTGCTCAAACATTTTTCTCTTCAAATTTCTAATCTTTCTCTTAATCTCTTAACCTAGCCTCCACCCTAAA